GTAGTGCAGGCTTCTCCCATTAGTAAGTATTCTTGGAACCCATCAGTATCAGTATATAAGCTAGCATTATTATGCTTCATCATTTGTGGAAGAATTACCTGGAGTTGAGGCAGACAGTTGACTGGTTCTTTCACCATGACAATTCACCTATCCACATCACGCTGAGTACTTAGCGGTTTTTGACCCCAAATGGTATAACCCCCATACCCATCCTCCCTATTCACCTGATCTCAACATGAGTGACTTTTCTGTTTCCCGGGATGAAAAAATTTTGTAAAGGGTAACGTTTTGCCAATGAGAAAGGGGTGAAACAAAAAACAACAGAAGCATCAAAAGGCATCAAAATTGACAAGTTCAAAAACTGTTTTGAGAAGTAGAAAAACCATCTTGATAGGGTTTTTTAATATCAAATAGAGAGTACTTTGAAGGTGACTGAAGTTTACACATGTACGGATAAATACACAATTTTTAATAAATGAATTTCAGGTTTTCTGGGGTCCCCCTCATATATAAGACTGAGAAATGCAATGCCCTGATTTCTTGAGTACTATTCAAATCTGGTCTGAGCAGCAGCAGCATCCCCTGGGAGCTTGTTAGAAATGTGGACTCTCAGACCAACTGAATTGGAATTTACATTTTAACAATATTCCCTGGTGGTGTGTCATTAGTCTGTGCTTACAGATGGAGCTGAATGAGTTTGGAGGGGAATAAAGCCAGCCCTACTCAAACCAACAACCGAAAGTGAGACAGGAATTGATGTTCAGAAAAAAAGCTTAACTGCTTTTACCAGAGGAAGAATGGACATCAGGCATGCAAAATTACAGATACCCAAGGCAATATGTAATATTTATTAAGCAATTGTTATATTTAGTCATTTTACTAAGCCTTTTCTAGAACATTATTTATTTGGTATTCACAACATACTATAAGATATTGTCAGAGAGGATATCTTAGACTTCAATGAATAAAATAATTCATCCAAACTTTTTGTTGGAGAGCTATGGGCAAATTAATCTATAATAGAATATCACATAATAATAAATGCTGTGGAGAAAAAAGAAGTAGGCTAGAGGAATAGAGCAAGACCCAGGATGACGGGAGCGAAGGAACAATTTAGTAAAGAAGGAGAGGGTAAACCTGAAGATATAAAATTTGGGCAAAGATTTGGATCAAGTAAAGCACAACTCATGTCCAGGGTAATACCATTCCAAACAAAAAAAGAAAAGACAATTACAAAGCCTTGAATTTAGCATGTTAGAAGAAAAATAAAACACCTATGTGCCTAGATTGAAGTGAGTATAAATGAATTCAAAGAGATAGCCAAGAGCTAAATCATAAAGGACCTTCAGGCAATAGTTAAGAGTTGTTTAATTATTCGTAGTGCAATGGGAAATCACTGGAATATTTTAGTCAGGGGAGTGATATGATGTGATTTGTACTTTTAAATGTATTGTGTAAGGATTGAGTAGTAGTGAATAAAGAATAGGTGGAGGAAAGTAAGATGTTGAGGGACCTGTTAGGAGACTATTGCCATGCCAGTCTAGGCAGGAGATGAGATAAGTTAAGACCAGGATGGTAGAGGGACTGAGGGTATATTGTAAATATAGAGCCGTCAGGAATTGCTAATTAACTAAAAATATATGTGTGAGGTAAAAAGATTACTCCTATGTTTTTGCCCTAAGACAATCAGCAGATATTTGTGCTAGTTACTGAAATGGAGATCCTTGGAGATGGAGTAACTTGGAGATTCAATTTTAGACTTTTCTGATTTGAGATGCCTGTTAAAGATCCCAGTAAAATTGTTGGGTAAACCATGGGATAAGCTATTTGAAGAGGTTCGAATTGGAGATAAGGGTTTGAGAAACAAGTGATATTGTATTTCATGCCATAGATCCAGGTAATCTAATTCAGGCTCCATTTCACAGTCACTAAATCATACAAGTGCAAAAAAGGTCCCACCATCTTGCAGCAGCAATGCTTCTTTGGTCCCACTGGGATGCAATGCCTCTTTGGTCCCTGTAGCAAAAGAACACTCCCATACTTGGTCTTCTAGCTTTATAACCAGAAGTGACATAATCACTTCATTCCACTGGTCCTTTATTGACCAGGGTCAGACAGATGTCCTTGCCCAATTGCAGGAGCCTGGAAAATGTGAGGAGTTCATGGAGTGCTTGTGAGCACTGCTGGCTCTTAAATAACATCTCACTTCTAAAAAAAAAAAGAGGATTCAGAGAGGAAAAGTCAAAATATTAAAACAAGCTTTCCATTGCTACTGGTCTACAGCTGTTATGGACACAGTTGTGACATGCCTCTCTGGGAAACTGTTAATACAATTAAACATCTCCTTCTTAGCAAAACAGAAAGTAGGTCTATGTGTTACAGATACAAGAAAGAGAGAAAAAAAGAGAAGCTGACAGTATTTTTGTGTATTCTAGAGGTAACGTACATAATTATCTAGGACTAGAACAAAAGCAGGTTGCTGGTGAAATGCCAAAGTGTGGCTTAGTAGCGTAAGAAGGCTTCAGGTTTTCTCAGTAATCGCTATCATTCTCCATCAACCACCTTTGCCAAATCTGTTGAGGACAATTAGTGTTTCTCTGCTCTAATATAATATAAAATGATATGCAATTAAACTTCAAACCTTCCTTCTAAACAGAAAAGTGCTCACAAAAACATTTTAGGACTTTGTCTTTTAAAGTAGAGGTTGATCACTAACTATAACCGGTAGGCCAAATTCAGCTCACTGTCTATTTTTTAATGACTCATGATCTAATTTTAAATAGTTGGGGGAAAAAAATCAAAAGAAAAATATTTCATGGCATGAAAATTATATAAAATTTATATTTCATTGTCCATAAATAATGTTTTATTGGAACACAAATAAAGCCCTTCTAGAAAAAAATATTATGGAGCCAGGACTATCAAATCTTAACAGATAAAAAAGAGATGATACTAATATGAAATAAACTACCTCAATTTAATCTACTCACCTCAAAAATGAAACCAGAACAATAGAACTGACAGTTAAATTACGTCTTCTGAAGGCGAAGGGTCTTCCTCCCCCGCCACCTCCCTACCCGGGGCTCAATGACATCTCTTTATATGACTTTGGGGACTGTATATTAAATTAATTTCCATAGTACTTAAAATAATGAGAAATTCTTTCAATGATCTATTTTGTAAATACCAAATTGTTTTCAAGCCTCTTGTTTTGAAGGTTGCACTCCAGATTGGAAGTTCTGGCTAGAATTATTTTAGAAGCAAATATTGATCTGTTTAAAAAAACCTAAAAGCCTTGTTTTCTATCCAAACACCAGCTAAGAAAAACAATATTTCCTTTTGTAAGTAAATGGTTTGGCTGCTTAAGCATCATCAGAATGCTTTCTAACAAAACTTTTTAAATTTTGAACAGACAAAAATACTGAAGAGACAAGGGGGCAGAGCTAATGACTTATGAGCATCAGGATTGTTGCTGCTTTTGAATATATCAAAATAGTGACCCAACAATGGCATTAGTTACAGACATTTAGATTGTCTAAACATTTGCTCCTATTTAGAGAATTATTATTATTATTATTTTTATTTTTTATTTTTTTATTTTTTGAGTTGGGAGTCTCACTGTTGCCCAGACTGGAGTGCAGTGGCCACTCCCGGCCACTGCAGCCTCGACCTGCTGGGCTCCGGCGATCCTTCCGCCTCAGCCTTCCAAGTAGCTGTAACTACAGGCGCGCGCTACCATGCCAGGCTAATTTTTTTGATTTATAGTAGAGATGAGGTCTCGCCTGCCCAGGGGGTTCTCGAACCCGCAGGCTCAGGCAATCCACTCACCTCAGCCTCCCAAAGGCACGGGATTACAGGCTGAGCCACCGAGCCTGGCTTAGGGAATTATTGATTGGCTTTGCTGCTTGGTTTGAATAGGATATCCTAACTACTAAGCCATTTTTTTCTGTGCCAACCTCTGGATGTTTACTGGACTTAAATAAAACATTTAAACATGGACATTTTTTTCAAAATAATATAAATAACAACTGTTTTGTCACAGTTATTTCATCACTTCAGTCACATGTTATTTTTAAAACTGATAATAATTAACAAATAAATCATCATGATATGTTTTATATAAAAATTAGTTACATTATCGTTCTTGTTTCCCAACTAGAAAGCATATTTTATGATCTTCAATTGAAATATTCATTTCAACTTCAAATACTGCTATTATGTGAAATAAAATTAAGCAATTTTTGTATGCACATGTAAATGTTTCCTATTCATTTGTTTATGTTGATTTTTTATGCTTATTTACTTTCTAACTTTTCCAGAGAAAGGTATCTTTCAATATCTCAAAAATAAAATCGTGAAAAAAACCAGTAAAGAAATAATCAAGCTTATGGTCAACTTAGATAGAATGAAAGTTCAAGAAGAAGAAGAAGGGAAAATTAGGATACATATGTGCAATTCACTGTGAGAATCATATTTACATAAAGGTCTTATAAAATCTACAGGTGGTGAATAGATGACTTTATAAGAAAAATGAGTATTAATAAAAATATTGGAGCCATTGGTATTTTTTCATTAAGGAGAAACAGACACATTATTACACAGTTCAGTTAAGCTTTGATTATGAGATGCTAAATTAATACCAATTTACATTTATTTAATTAATTATTCAGTCTAAGAAGTACAAGTACTTGGTAATAAATATTTGCATTTGAAAAGTCATAACTAATGAGAGAACTGTTATTTATATCTACTTAATGTATTAATTGGATGGTAGTTACAAAACCAGTGTAGTAGCAGCTGCATATGCAATTGAATTTACTGAAATTATAATTATAAAAAAAAACCTGATGGTAAAGTAAACAGAGTGAAACCATATTAGAATGAAAATAGCACAAACTGATTTGTGTTTCTCTGAAAAATTCCAGGTGTTGTCAAAGTGGATTATGGAGATGTGACAGTCAGAAAAACACTAAGAGAAAATCTGAAGTGTAAGCCTTTTTCTTGGTACCTAGAAAACATCTATCCGGACTCCCAGATCCCAAGACGTTATTATTCACTTGGTGAGGTATGAATTATTTATTTTGCTTAAGTTATAAATATATTTTGCAAATGGAGCAATTTCTAAGGAGCTCAGTTATTTTTCATGTTATGAATAAAATGCTGTAAGGCTTTTTAAATAGATCTATTTTAAATGATTTATTTAAAGGACAGTAAAAAATCATCATAGGAAATTATAAAAGAGAAGGGAAATTTTACAATTGAGCACACAATATTTTATTTTATTTTATTTACTAACAGTTCTAAAACTTTTGGTCATATGAAACTTACACTTTAAAAATTTATTGTGAACTCCAAAGATATTTTGTTTATGTAGTTATAACTATAAATACTTACTCTATTGAAACTAAAACTGAAACTTTGAAACTTATTTATTTATTTACTAATTAAAAATAATATAATAACCAATTATGTGCTAATACAAATAACATATTTTTGAAAAGTAATATATTTTCCCAAACAAAATCAAGTAGTGAGAACTAGCAACAATTATATTTTTGTAAATTACAATAATGTATAGCTTAATAGAAGACAGCTGGAATCTTAGATCTGCTTCAGTAGTCAATCTTTGGAATATGACAGTCTATTTCAATTTCCTCTCAAAAACTCTTTGTACACTTATGAGAAAATGAGAGTGAAAACCGCCAGTAATATCTTAGTATTGTTATGAAAGTGGTATTGACTTTATGAACCTTCTGAAAATCATTGATCTCTACCATTCTATTCTAAAATATCTATCATATTTAGAAATACAAAACTGACTTCATTATAACTATACAAAGGTATATATTGTATATTCAATTTTTCAACATAAAATTTATTTCCTTTATGATTGATATCCTCCATGTTGGTAATTTCTCCCTTACTGGAGATTAGGTTTTAGAATCAAAACTAACAATATTTGTTGTGATTAAAGCATTTCAACAGCCGGGCTCGGTAGCTCAGCCTGTAATCCCATGCTTTGGGAGGCTGAGGTGAGTGAATTGCCAGAACCCGCGGGTTCAAGACCCGCCTGGCCAACTTGGCAAGAGCTCATCTCTACAATAAATCAAAAAAATTAGCCGGGCGTGGTTGTGCGCGCCTGTAATTCCAGCTACTTGGAAGGCTGAGGTGGAAGGATCGCTGGAACCCGGCAGGTCGAGGCTGTGGTGACCGGGAGTGGCCGTTGCACTCCAGTCTGGGCGACAGAGTAAGACTCCAGCTCAAAAAAAAAGCATTTCAACAGCAATAATATAATGCATTTGGAAAACAATGATTAATTAGTTGCATACTTAAGTACAAAATGTCATTTTTGTAAGTCATAATTGTAGAATATCTGAAAATTTATATGATTCAATCAAATACTTTTGTGAGGTTATCTGTCTTATTGCCTTGTAACTTTATAAACATGCCTTACTTACAACTAGAAAATAATGAAAGAAAAAAATACTTGACGTGAGTAGAGCCCTAACTGAATTGTTTTTAATTAATGACTGTTTTTACGTGCCATATCCATGCCTTATTAGCCAGAGCTCCACCTTCTCTTTAGCCATGTAAATATTTCTCTGTAAAATCTTGTTATTTACATATACTTAGCCTCAACTTGAATAATGTAGTAAAAAGTTTCCTATGTAATAACACTCATTTTATCATGATCTAGGTTTGTGACTTTAGGTTAATCATGTAATAGTCCTGTGCCTCCAAGTTTTGTCTTTTATTTTTGTTTTTATTAGAGGGGGCTATTATTGCTGTTTTTTCAGATATGTAATATCCTCTTGTTAGCACTAATTTCACAGGGTTTTATTTTCAGTGCACAGAATATATAAGATTATTTTATAAATTAAAACACTCTTCATGCTAGTTTTTAAAAACCAGTGAAGATCTCCAAAAAAGTCTCATATTCTCAACACTTATTGAAAAATTTGTTTAAACATTCATGAACCTGACTATACCCTCTGAAAAAAGAAATTTTTCTATTCTTATAACAAAGGGTTTCTCCTCCTATTGTCAATGGACCCAAATAGTAACATCTGTTCATTTTCTAAAAGGGGCTATACCAAAACAGAGATAAGCAAAGAGGAATTTTTGGAAATTCTCTGAAATCACCAAGGTGACTCCTGAGAAAGATTTGGGACTCTGAAATGGAACTAGATGTTTACTTCCAAGTTAAAAATTCAATTTTATGGTTTCTTGCACTATATCAAGGAAACCTAATTGACTTCCTAAAGAAGTAAAAGTAAAATATAATGTAGGCAGATTCCTTGTACAAACTACTAACTTCCATAATAAATTGAATAATTATAATTTTATTTGTAGAAATATGATGACAAGCTTTTAATCAGAAAAATTAAATATTTCAGGGTATCCAGAAAAAGACAGCAAGGTGTATTGAAAAAAATCCTAGGCCCTGCCTGGATTCAGGCAGAGAAGTGTTCAAATTCTAGCCTTACAGCTTCTGACTTGAATAACATTAAGTATCCTCTCGGCTACCTTTATGCACAGAATGAATAAATAACAATATTGGGTTAAAATGATGACTGAAGACACAAAGCATCGAGCACAATACCTGGCAAGAGGTAGTATTATACTATAGGAATATAATTATCGTAACTATGTTTGATTTTGTAATATGTCAAAACTTATTCTAGGTGTTTTATATGAATTATATAAAAATCGCAACAGCTCCATGACTTGAGCTTTCTTATTCTCAAGTTAAAAGGAAACCAACATGTAGAAAGTTTATTTGCTTGGCTTACAGATCACATAGCCAGTTAATTGTTGACCGCAGGATACAAACACTTGTTAGACTGACACTAAAGCGCAATTTTTCTTATAAATGGAAAGAGAAAATAGGTTACTTTAGTATATTTTATTCATTCAAAATGTTTTATTAAGTAAGATCTTGAAGCTGGGCATGGCGGCACATTTCTGTAGTCCCCACTACTCGAGAAGTTGAGATAGGAGTATCACTTGAGCCCAGAAGTTCAATATATTGAGTAACTATCTCTATTAAAAAAATAATAGAAGTTTTATAAAAGAATTCCAGCTATTTCTTAGTCCATTTGAACTGCTAAAACAGATATCTTAGAATGGGCAATTTATAAATAATGTAAATTTGTTTCTCACAGTTCTGGAGGCTAGGGACCCCAAGATCAAGGTGTCAGCAGATTCAGTGTCTGGTAAATACTAGTTCTCTTTTTCAAAGATGACACATTGTTGCTGAATCCTCACATGGCTGAAGAGGCAAAGGATAAGTCTTCACATGGTGGGAGGGGCAAAACATCTCCCTTCAACTTCTTTTATAAGGGCATTAATTCCATTCATTAGGATGGAGCTCTCATGATTTAATTATGTCCCAAAAGGTCCCACCTTGTGAGTCTTTTGATCCATAATCAGACACATTATTTCTTGGGCCATGGGCCTTCTTGGCCCTCCCTCTCAATGCCACCACAACGGAGATAAGGTTTTATCATGAGTTTGGGAGGAACATATTCGAACCATAGTAAGCTGGAACCTGTGTTATACACTGAGAATACAAAGACAAATAAGGAAAGACCTTTGTTCTTAAGCCATACAACCAAACTGGGGAGTTGGAGGGGGGGAGTGTGGTATGGCAAGAGATAACCAAACAGGTAAAGAAATTGAGTGGAAATGAAAGGTGCCTCATGAATTATATGGCATGCTATGAACTACTTTTTCAAAAATCCAATAAATTTTAAAAATCTATGAGATATGTTATGAGCTTACTGGGGTATTAACGTACTGTAGTTTTCCACTTTAAAACTAGCCTTAAAGAAATGCAATCTAGCATCTGTTTCCATGGAAACAGAAGGACAAATTCATGAAGCACTGCTTCCTAATTCAATTTTGCATGGCCATGTATGCATAATTTAAGACAGACATTTTGATAATGAGTTAGAGTTGAACTGTTAGTGAACAACAGTCATTTACTTAACACTCTTTCTTTCTTACTGCCTGTTATTAACCATTATTGGAAGACTGTAAAAGATATCTTTCCTTATATGCACTTTATCTTGAATACTTAGCACCTCAAAGCAATCTCAGCTGTCTAAACTACCTGTTAGCAAAACAACAAAAATATTTATTTGTAGTATATTTATTTATACTTGTCACTTAATTTCAGTTAAATTGCTTGGATTTAACAATTTATATATTTCTTATATTCAATTTTTTAAAAGTCTCTATATTTAGTATGGCTGTATTTGATGAATATAAATGTTTTCCCGTACATTTATTTTTATAACTTTCCTTGCTGCATTAGAATATATAGTGGTAAATATGGTATTCAGTTTCTATATTATCAGATTCCAACACCAAAATGAATAGTTATTGATACCAGGTATCTATATCTTAATTTCTTATATATTTGCATCTTACTTAGGTAATTGAAATATTACTTTATCCAGTCCATGAATTACATGCAATTTCCAATGGGAAATTAAAAGCTGTGCAATTGCTTTGAACTAAAACCTTTAAGTAAGTTAATGAAGCATGTGCCTTTTAGACTTAGTAAGCAGATCATAATGGAATAAGAAAGTTGAACTCTTTGCAACATTAAATTCTCTCTTAACTAGCCCTTTAGTTTAGATTTAACATGCTGGGTTCTGATTTTGTAAATATAAAAACAAACTCAAGTGTTAGATTTAAATATGGCATTCTAAAATGGAATACCTCAGCCCCAATTTTTAAGTTATGACAGGGTAGCATTCTGGAAAAACAAATATTGTGAGCTTGATAGAACACAGGAATGTCTGAGGGCAAAGGAAGAAGATGAGGATTTCAGGAGCCAAGTGACTTAACTCTTTGTGTTTAAGGGTTGTATTTGCATGTTGCTTTCAAGATGTTTTGACATTATTCTATGCATTTTGTATAGTGTGCTTGACCTCAGCACTTCTTACATTCTTTAACCATAGCAACTAGTTAAGGTCATTGCACATATTGGTATTGTACTCCTTACATATTGTTGAAGAGCAAATTTAAGTAACTAAAAATAGACATCTATAAAAC